GTGCGAGAAGTTGGGCCGGGATGGGTGAGAGCTGCTAATTTTTTAAGTGTGTTGCTCTATGACTAGCATGTCCTTTAAACATCTTGCAGGAAACATTGGCATCTTTTGAGGAGCTTGAACCGTTTACCAATCACTTGTCTCAGCTGGCTGCGCTTGACTATATTGTATCTGTTGAAAGTGATGTATTCATGCCGACATACTCTGGAAACATGGCAAGGGCGGTCGAAGGTCATCGTCGCTTTCTTGGACATAGAAGAACAATTTCCCCGGACAGGTATGGGATATTCTTATATATATTTTAGCTTATTTTGATCAATTTCTTTGCACTGAGCATTTTCTTTTTTTGTCCCCTAGGAAAGCACTTGTTCGTCTGTTTGATAAAATTGAGCAGGGAAAACTGAAAGAAGGCAGATATTTATCAGACCATGTCATTGAAAGCCACAGAAAACGGTATGTGTTCTTAAGCATTATAATCACAATTAATACCAAAAAACGTCAACAGCTGAGTTGCCCATGGGCACTGCTTTTCTGGGAGAAGAGGTGAGGTTTAGTTAATATTTTGCAGCCACGATTGGGTGGCACTGGGAAACTAGTGCTTGTTTTGTGAGATTTTGAGGTTATCTTCCATGGCCATTATCTTGACGGGTCAGCATTCTGTAAAGATTTGAAAATAGAATCCACTAATTGAAATTTTGTTTCTCATGTTGGTTGCATAGGCAAGGCTCCCCAAGGAAGAGGAAAGGCCCCATTTCTGGAACAAAGGGCACGGATAGGTTTCGTTCAGAAGAAGCTTTTTATGTAAATCCTTTACCAGATTGTTTATGTCAGGGGCAATCCCGGAATCTGAACACCTCTATCATAACAAGTTAGTTTAGATGCTGTAGAACAATTCTCTTCAAGATCCAAGTGCGGGAGGATAGTGGCAAATTTAATCATTCACTATCCATTGATACTACAAGCTGGCTGTGCCAGAATCAGGGTTAGGTCTGCGGATTGTGTATATCTCAGAGTTTAGGCGGGTGGAGGCATGCAAAAGATACAGAGCAAATGGACGCTGCTGCTATTCGGTGCCAGTGCTGGCAAAGATTATGTTGGGAAGAGAAGGGGCCTTTCATTCCATCAACCAAAAGCAATTTTAATATTTCAAGAGGACAATTTAAATAGTCAGATTAGAAGGAAGTTAGGGATACGATTATCATTGGATCTCTAGAGTAACATCCTTTTCTTAGATGCATGTATTCGATTCATCGTCATTCAATGCAATAAAAGTGAAAACAATTACTTCTCTTTTCTCCCGACTCTCGCCCACTTTTCCTCCTTTTGCAATAATCTTTATTCTTGCATGGTAAACCGAACGGCGAAAATTATCTTTGAACTCCTGAAGTACTAAATAATGACCCTACAAATGAAGGAAGAGAGCGACGGCATATGCAGGCCGTCGCTCTTTCTACTTCAAAAAAGAAAAAAAAAAGAAAAGAAAATGGGTCGGCGAACCGGGTGGGTAACCAATGAAAAGAAGATAGGATATCCACATATCTCCTCACGAACACTCATGCCCACTCCACATGTACAGGTATAGCCACATAGGCACACATAATCTTGTTACCTCTCTCTACGAAACGGAAGAGCCTTCTGTTTGTCTTTTAGTAGCTCGAAAGCACGGAGGTTGTTACATTGTAGAGGCAACTATGGGTACTTCTTTCCTCTCAACCCTCCCCTCTTTGGTTAGTGTCCCTTCTTTAACCATCTCTACTACTCCTACCATTAGATGTCCTTCTCATGCTGTAAGTTCTCTTGAAATGTTGCTTCAGTTTCATCTTGGCTGGGAATGCTACAGAAAATGGAATCATTTATTTTTCTCTCTTTTGCCTTTTGGCTAAATATTTATCAGGTCGCTATTCGTTGTCATAAAATGGACGCTGATGTCCCTGGTGAGAATGTTCTACGGCGAAGAGAAGTTTTGAAATGCTTTGGTGCTACTGTTGGCATGGTAAGAGAGAAATAATACTTTCCTTTCATTGCTCAGGGATTTGGCATTCACATTCTATGCAAACTTGACCATCCACTTCTTGATTATATTCCAAAGGAGATACATTAGTGTGTTGTTTTGGTATACATGGTCAGATGACACTAATCCTATATTCGAAACATTGTTGATTTATGAGATATACAATTTAATTACCTTTTTTTTTCCGGCTTAGAAAAAAATAAAATAAAAAGGTGATATCTGAAATATTTCAGTTATAATATTCTCTCATTTTGATTTTGTGGAATGTTGAAGTTAATGGTTGTATTTTGACGCATCCTTTATATATTGGAAATCCATAATGTAGAATGATGTGATGATGAGTTTCTAACCTGTTTTGCTGTAAACTTAGGAATTACTAGCTAGCTCAGGATCATTTGTTGAAATGGCCAGTGCTGCTGATTTGATCCAACGCAGGCAGCGTTCTGAGTTTCAGTGTGAGTTCCCTAATCTCAACATTTCCAAGCATGCTCAAATCAGCTACAGTTTGCTCAGTTGATGTTGCATCTTCTTTCTCACAGCCAGCATAAGGCAGACCCTTTCCGCAGCTATAAAGGTGAACCACACAACCTTGCCTTTATGCTTTCTTTTTATCAAGTAGTTGTTCTGCAGTTCCATAAAATGGATAGAAATATGTACATCGTGCTTGATGTTGTATTGATCACTATTCTGTTGATATTTGTTTCAGGGCAAACCTGAACTTGTACCATCCATTCTAACTCTGGCTCTGAATGATGCCATTACTTATGATAAGGTCAGACAAATTCGTTCACCTGTTGAATTCCGATATGATTGCTATGGAAGTCGTTAACTAAAGATAGAAGTCGAAAGAAATGCACTGATTAATTCCTGATTAAGTTTGCAGGCTACAAAATCTGGGGGCCCAAATGGATCCATACGATTCAGGTATTTCAGTTATGAAGTTATCATCTTTTATGAGTTTGTACACTGATTTATCAATGTGTGGAAGTTTACACTTTCCTCTTCCTCTAGCATGTAGAGAAACTGGGTCTCAGACATTTGCATACGCACTGCAAGCATCAACTCCCAATTGATTATGATTATTCACTGAGGAATGAGCAAATAGAACCTCCTACAGGTTCTTTGTGAAGCATCCTGTCAGCACGCTTATATCACTGTCTGTGATGTTCGCTGTCCCTGGTTTTTGGATGCTTAATTAAATTAGAACACCTGCTTAGGTTGTAGAATTGTAAATTATTGTCTGAAGTAATCCCTGCTTCTTGATTGAAGTCCCTTTTGCTTTTGAAGCAATAACTTAGCTCCTTGCCAGAATGTTGTCTTAATTTTCTTCTCCTTTTTTCCGACCTGAAGTTCAGAGATAAGCAGACCTGAAAATAAGGGACTTTCTGCCGCGTTGAATTTAATAAAGGAAGCGAAGGAGGAGATAGATTCATATTCCAAGGGCGGACCCATCTCTTTTGCAGATCTTATCCCGTTTGCAGGTTATACACATTAATAATGCCAAATTTATGCCGTGCTGCATACTATGGCCTTGTTGCATGACCTAGTTTATGTGCAGGTGAACAGAATTTAATTCATCAACAGAAAAGACCAATGTCCCTGACTCAATTGTGTTTGTTCTCTGCAGGACAAAGTGCTGTTAAGGCTACATTTCTGGCTTCTGCCATCAGCAAGTGTGGTGGTAATGAACAGAAAGGAAGCATATTGTACTCCGCATATGGATCCAGTGGACAGGTTAGTGTTTCTAATTTGGCTGTGTTGTGGACATTTTTAATTTGCACCAGGATATATATAAAATATTGGCAACTCTACCTCTGAACCAGCCTTATTATTAAAGTCAAGGTCTAAAACTGTGGCTACATAAGAGTTAAATCAGAGAATTCCTCATATGTAAAGGTACTTTTGCAGAAAGGTTAGGAAGATCCTTGTGTAAAAAGGAACATTACGATGACTGCAATTATGCTCAAATGAGTTCTCGTAAATACATACAGGTAGAAGTACATATTTCATCATTTTTCCTATCATCCGATCTACAGAAGGGTTTGTTGTTCTGTGTTTTTTCGGGGAATTAGTTTTAGTGCTTCGATTCTAGTGTGTCTATTATCAATAAAAGCAAGTTATAGTGATAAGCAATTAATCCCAACAATTTTTGTTGTTCTTATAGTGGGGATTGTTTGATAGACAATTCGGAAGGACAGATTCCCAAGAGCCAGATCCAGAAGGGAGGGTTCCCCAGTGGGAGAAAGCCACAGTCCAAGAAATGAAAGACAAGTTCTCATCTATTGGCTTTGGTCCCCGCCAGGTATGCTTTCAACAAATATATTAAGGATCACGAGTTCACAAACCTCTAAAAAGACAGGACATTTCACTTTGGAAAGACACCTATAGATGGTTGCTGACCCAATTCTGTTCCTTCCCTGGTTGACCAGCTCGCTGTTATGTCTGCGTTCTTGGGTCCTGATCAAGCAGCAACAGAGGCCTTACTGGCAACTGATCCAGATGTTACACCATGGGTTCAGAAGTACCAACGTAGCCGAGAAACAGTGTCTCAGACAGATTATGAGGTCAGTTGATGATTCTCAACAGGGATCCCAATCAATTGAACCTGCCTTATTTGAAATTATGCGATGTAGTTTCTTGCTATGGAGGAGCAGAGGGAATTTGTAGCTATTATGTACCGTTAAATCCTCGCATTCCCAAATTTATGTTGCCTCTAGATCTGTTCTAATTACGGTCTTGGAATTGATTTTCTTGCAGGTCGATCTGATAACTACTCTCACCAAATTAAGTTCCATGGGCCAACAAATCAATTATGAAGCATATACATATCCTGTCCGAAAGATTGAGTTGAGCAAACTCAAGTTATAGCGCAGACGATTTGCATTTTCAAGGAGCCATCAACTGTTCCACCACGCGCAATTATTTATGTTTCTCACAATTTTGTAAGCAATGATGTTCTCAAGTTCCCATTTGATTCAAACCATGAAATGACTGTGATTTCAGCTTCTTGGAACACTACATCCATCTTTCTAGTTTCCGATTCTCCTCGTTGTCCCACGCCACGCGGGTACTCGCTATAATGTGGTTTGTGGTATAAACAAATCAACAGATGACCCTACAATATAAAAACTCAATTTAGAGAATGCCTCCAATTATCAAAACCTGAAGTTGTAATTCTTCTTTCTTCATTTACCGACCTCTGATGTTGTAATTCTTCCTCCAAGCTACATGGATGAAAGCCAGGCTTGGTGTCAACTCCAAACTCTGCCATTCTGTAGCCTTGTGCTTGCTGCTTGTTGAAAATTAATGGCTTGATGAAGACGAATGTCATCGCCAATAATGGTTACATCCAACGCACCTTCTGCTGCCCAACTAATTCAGTGCACTCACGTCTATTGCATATCTCTCGTGCTTTTAATAAAAAGGCATGAAGATTCAACCAAGTAGAAACTATCAAGGCCCTGAATAAATTTGGCACCTTGGCAATTCACCAAGCCAGCATATAACTTTAAGGAGAGAAGTGGTGTTTGAAAAAGCGGGACCAGCAACAAACTGCGGGTGGGCAGTGTAAAGGAGATGCATGATCATTGGATTTTTCCATTTGTAAGGAACCTAAACAGTAATTAATACTGAATTGCTGTTATCAGTAACAAAAGTAGCAAGGCCATGAATATATGATTTGGCAATTAGCCAAGACATGAGAGTTGAATATGAACACTGATATTCCTGAATGGAGGAACCCCACCATGAAGAATGGAGTATTGATATGAGAAACTTTGCATCTAGTCAGAGTATCAGACAACTGTCATACAAATGAAAAAAGCCAGATAATATACCTAGTTGCCGTGTCTGCAGCAACAGCCTCTGTACGGAAGCAATGGGAAAACGCCACATACTTCAATGAAAACAGTGACTTGGCAAGGATAGCATCCATGTGAATTCCTCCCAAAGGAATCTCTGCAGTGCTAATGTGGCATTGATCACTATCATTGATAGAGCAAACCTGTTAATTGTCAGGCATAAGTATCAACAGGTCAGGGGTGCCTGCCTGTAAGAGCTCAGGGGAAATATACTTAAACCTGTAAGATGTCCAGCATCATCCCCTCCTTCAAACATACTCGCACACACGCACGCACACTTCTCTAACACCATAATTGCAAATGAATTATGCTATTATCTCATGCAACATCATAAGTACAAAAAATTGGCAAACTTGAAACCGAATTTAACTGCTCAGTCTTTTAGTTACAAAAAGCAATTCATGTCTTTGTGTTTTGTTCTACTTATCATTTTCCTCACGAAATATAAGGAAGCAGTTGAAAGAATTACATACCATCGCTCTCACTGTTGAACTATCTTTTTCTCCAATCGGAGCATGTGGATGAGTCATGTTAGGTATACATTGCGCTTCCATCTGAAGCTCATCTGTAAGTTCAACCAGGTCTTCTTCCAAAGTTGCAAGTCCTTCTTTCAGATTCTTTCCTAAGAAAATGAAAGGACATTCATCACACTGATACAAGCAACCAAAAAACCGAAAGAATGACAAATATTCAAACCATACTTTCCTCAATCAGTTTTTGACGCTATGATGGCTCTAGCTTTCCCTTCATCTTGTTTGCTACCGCATTCCTTTCCCCGCGAAGCCCCCTGAGGTCATGGAGAGAGGATCAATGGGAGAGTTTATCATATGACCCAGGAGAAGGTCAGGATTGATCTAGAGGTGGTGGCAGGTATTCTACAGTTGAATTCGCAAACTCCATATGCTTTAATTGATCTTGAAACCACTCATTGAAACCTCTCATTTGTTTATATCGGTTAGAGTATAGGTTAGAGTTTAAAAAAATTAAATGTGTTACCTGGTAAGATAGAAAGAGCGATAATAATTAGTGCACAACAATTTATATTTATTAAGCATGCAAGGGGTTAATGATTAATATTTAAAATTATATTTTTATCAAGATTTTATATTTTTATTTTATACTTGAAGTATCAATAATTCCTTAACTATAACATATTTTATAATAACAAATCTAACAATATAGGATACCTTTAATTTATAGTAAATATTCATTTTAAATACAGGTCTATCATATAAATTAAATGATTGATTGACGAGTTTAATTACTGAAATTGAAAAGATAAAGAGAAGGCTAAACTTAGAAAAGAGATACTAGTTGAATTCAAATTGAAACACTATTCCGTTATTGGATCATAACTGGAATTACAGAACTTGGATTTAGGTCTAGTTTATATGGATAGAAAGTTAAGACATAGGCCTAAAACTTTGATGAAAAGTCTAGATTCAAAATGATTGTTTTAAAGTTCAAATTGTAGTAACAATAGAGAAATCAAAGTCGGTGCTCCAGCCTAAATATTGTTCAGTGTTTAGCCCATATCTCAAGTTCTAGAAGTCCAAATGATCTCATTCCTGTTTTGTTGGAAAGCTAAGATAATTTTTCAGAACTTTTAAGAAGACTATTTGTTCAAATTCTGATATTAGCAATGACGTTTTCTACAGACAACAAGATAAAGATTGCTACGAAGTCAACATGTGGTCACTCACTCAACAATTAGTCATCAAATCAATAGTTCTGATTTTTGGCTTATAAAAAGAGATATTTGCCATGTATTTAGGCATATTGCTATTCAGATCAAGATCACTTTTTCTCTTTGTATTTTAATGTTTAAGTTTTATTTTATGTTATATTTTTTTTAATCTCTTATTTATACTTTTCATTTCCTTTACTATACTCATGTTCGTATATTATTTATTTATGTTTCTCTTATTTATTATGTTTAGCTAAGTTTATTTTGTCAATATGAAAAAGTTACACTAATGGTGTAAGAATAAATATAATATAAACTCAATATGGATTTTAATGTTTAATACTAACATGTTTTGTATTTGTTATCTTACTCACTTTTAATATCTTGCCTGTTAAATGGTTAATCTAGATTTGTGTTGAACAACCCTACTTGGTACTTTTATTTGATACTTTCATAGCCAACTGTATAGTATAAACCTATACATGTGCTATGAAAGGAACTTGATTTGTTGTTAACATAAGTTATAATCATGAATGCTTGACGATACCTGATAATATTTACAAGTATTGGCATTACTCAAATAAGATAATTAATATAATCATGCTAATAATTTATAATCCAGTCAAGTAATAAAAAGAGTTTATACTATATTTGTTTGAAATATCATTAGTGGATCCTCTAACCTTGACAATTATTTTATTCTTGTTTAATCTTTACATCAATATCACATCTCAAAAGTTCTTTTCAATTTCTTTTTATTTATTGTTTATAATTTTATATAGTTCACCTCCCTATGGTTTGATCTTGGTTTTACCGGGTTATCTATTACTTCGACACTCCTGCACTTGGAATAAGATATCAATCTTTTGATCATGTCAGTTAACAGTTAGGATAGAAGGGTTTGAAATGAGGGTAGATTTCTTGCCATTAGAGTTAAATGATTTTGATATTATTTTAGGAATAGGTTGGTTTGGTTGCCCATCAAACATAAATGGATTGTCTTGCTAAAATAGAAACATTAATTGGAATTAATGCAAAAACCTTAGTCTTTAAAGGAGAGAGAAATATTATACTTTGATTATGACTGCAAGGAGTCTAAGGAGGGAAGGGATATAGGCATATTTAGCTTATGTTATGGGGTTAGAAAAGAAAAAAAGATAGAATTAAGTAATATCCCTGTAGTAATGGAATTCCCTAATTAAAATTAGTATTTTCATATAAGTTGTTAGGATTACCCTTGAAAGAGAGGTTGAAGTGTCTAGATATAATATTTGGAACTACCTCTATAGACCAAGCACCTTATAGGATGACACCTGTAGAGCTAGTGGAATTAAATGTTCAACTACAAGAATTGCTAGACAAAAGGTTAATCCACCCAAGAAACTTGTCATGGAGTGCCTCGGTATTGTTTATAAAAAAGAAAAACAAAACCTTTCAACTTTGTATTGATTACATACAAGTAAATAGGGTGGCAATAAAGAATAAGTACTCACTTCCTCGAATAGATGACTTGTTTAATCAATTAAAAAGAGCAAGGGTGTTCTCAAAAATAAATATAAAGTCGGAGTACTACCAACTGAGGATTAAGAAACAAGATGTACCAAAGACTACCTTCCGAAGCTACTATAAACATTATGAGTTTCTTGTGATGTTGTTTGGGTTGACGAATGCTTTGAAAATATTTATGGATTTGATTAGTAACGTCTTCAAACCTTACTTGAACAAATTTGTTATGGTTTTTATAAATGATATTCTTGTCTATTCTTGCTTGTAGCGGTAACACAAGCAATATTGGAGACATGTATTAAAAGTTTTTAGGGATCAACAATTGTTTTCCAAATTTAACAAGTGTGAATTTTGGTTAAAATTAGTCTTTTTAGGACATGTTATCTTAGGAGAAGTAATATATGATATGTAGATATAAAGAAGGTAGAAGTAGTGCTGGAGTAAGAGATACCTATAAATATGATAGAAATTCTAAATTTTCTTAGGCTTGCAGGTTACTATGGAAGGTTTATTATAGGGTTTTCAAAAATAAAAACCTCTATGACTCGGCTAACCTGGAAAAAAGTAAGGTGAGAATGAACATGAAAAAGTTAGTAAAGCTTTTAAAAATTTAAAGGAAGACTCATTACTGCTCATATATTAGCACTTTTTTCAAGTTTAGAAGGGTTCATTCTTTATAGTGATAAATTAAAGAAGAGATTAGGTTGCTTTTTGATGAATCATCGAAGAATGATTGTCTTTGCTTTAAAAGTAATTGAAACAATATGAGGTTAATTATCTTGTTTGTAGCTTAAACTTGGCTATTATAGTTTAGAGGTATTGATTATATAAATATCTCATGTTTAAATATTTATAAATCATGAAGTATCTAATATTACAAAAAAAAAGTTAAATATATGATAAATATGATGGATAAAATTGATCAAAGATTATAATTATGTAATCTAGATTATAATTGTGTAATAGATTACATCTATGAAACATTAATATGGTGGAAGATGCTCTTCATCGTAAGGAGGAGGAGTGGAAGAAGAAATGATGGTTAGGGACAGAAAAGAGATAGTAAAGTTGAAGAAGATTAATGCACAATTAAAAATAAGACCTGAAGGGTCCTTGCTAGCATAATTCACAGTACATTCTGTACTCCAAGATCTAGTGCTGGAAGCTCAGAGAGATACGAAAGTGGAGAGTAAAGTGAAAGCAGGAATTGAAACGCCATTCCAGATCTCGGAGGATGAAATAGTAATAATGGATAAAAAAGTTGTATTTAGCTTGATGAAAAGACTCTTAAAAAGGAGATCATGAAAGAAGCTAATGAATCAAAATTTGTTTTATATCTGGTTGGTACCAAAATACATAAAGATCTTAAGGATTATTATTTTGGTGGCCTAATATGACAACTCTGGATCGATTGGCATCGGATTTTTGTTGGTATCCAGTTGAAACTTGAGTGCGCAATCAATTTTTCACTCTTTACCCGTAATTGGCCATTTTCTCTCATTATAAAACTAGCTCATAGCACAAATAACATGTAAGAGTTTTCATGACCCTGAAAACTTTTTAGTCAAAGTATGATTAGAGCTCAAACTTCGCTTAACATGTGCCTGAAAAAGGTTCCCGGCGAGATATGCATGATCAATCGCAGATCACATCAGCAGGAAAATAAAGTCGCGTTTTGAACCACCTAGTAGCAGATCGATGAGAATCTGATTCCACTACGCAATTTTTTGCTCGGTGTAAATAGCAAACTTTTAAGCTGCGTAAAACAGCAGCAAAGCAACAGTATAAACTTGACATGAGATATTCCGCAGGAAGTCATTCTTGAGAGTAATCAAGGCAAGTATATGTTCTTATTATCTAATTCAAGATTCTTTTGGGTTCTAAACAGTAATGAGTAACTGTTACACAACAGTTAAAGCAGGAAAAAATGGGAAAAAAAAATAAGCTTCATCTTAAGACAAGCAACACATTCTGTGTTCAGACTTGAGCTAGTTCTAAAAGACAAGCCAAAATTTCTTATTAACTCATTGATTCAAACAGGGCATTCCCTGAGAAAACACTTTTCATTAAAGGTACTCATCTGTTGGTTGAAACTTTGATTTAGCAGCAGAAAACAAACTGCATGGGGGTCTTCAAACAGGAAACACCTACAGGGGGCCTGGAAACGTGCCATTTGACCTTTGCTCATTCCATCTCTCCACCTGCCACCAGATAACAAAGAAAAAGTTGGCTTACACAGCATTAATATAGCCAGGTCAGGAGACAGAAACGAACATTGATGCCCAATTCAACCTTATAAAGTAATATTATGATCTACAGCAATGATTCATGGTTACAATACTTAGCTCAGTAATCATCTAAAAACCTAGCATCAGAATGCAGCCCAAGCATAAATGAGAAGCTTAAATATAGCATCCTAAAACAAGATGCCTCATGAAAAAAGCACTGCTAAAAGAATATCTAATCAGGTGCTTCCGGATAACCAGAACAGGATTTGCAGTGGCAATTATAGTAGCGCTTACAGCCTAAATTCAACAGAATCTGAGTATGGGTTTGTGGAAGATTTTGACTGTCACGATTATGGAGTTGGTTGTTGGCTGGCAGGGACAGTATGCAATTCTGAAGAGGAAAGTGCAATTTTGTCCTATGCAAAAGATGTTCAGCAAGTCTTGCTACTATAACAGCAAGACATCTTGACATCAGAAAAGATAGAAAACCTAATCATAGTGTAAAGTTGAACCTTGAAGGAGCCCCTAAAGTTAAGCCAGGAATGCCAGGTGCGCGCGGTTTATTGTGTGACGTCAGGGGGTGCCCCATCTACAGTGCAGGGCCTGTTACAATAAAGCACTTGCTTGGCACTCTTTAAGGCTTGGTGCCCCATCTATAGTGCAGGGCCTGTTACAATAAAGCTCTTGCTTGGCACTCTTTTTGGCTTACAGATGTTAGGAGGCTTTGCACACAAATTGGGACATCAATTGGCATGGATCTTAAGACTTCAAGAAGTTCATCCTAAATAGTTGATTCAAAGGTAACACTCAAACAAATCAACATAGGAGCCAACCTGTGTGGATTCCAATGCACCTTTGGACAAAGAAATCTGGAGTTTGGAAGACTTGGTTGTGAGATCACAGCAATCTTAAAGGTGATGAGCATGCTTATCAAGTTGAAAATTAAGATATATATTTAGGACTTGGTTTTTTCTTTCTTCAACATCCCATGACATGACTATGGTATATATCAACATAGCACTAAGGTCTTAACTTCCAAGATTTTTATGCCAGGTAAACATCATTCGACATTTAAAGAGCATTAAACAGCTTTGGAATAGCCTGTTGTTGAGAGAAAAAATAATATCATGAGCCTTAGTATATTGAAGATCTCAGATATACATACCCATTCACTAGGGCAGAGTGAACGATAATATTTGGCAAACTTATCACACTCTGAAGCATCTTCACCCTTGGCAGCTACGCACCTGGAGAAAATTATAAGAATAAATGTTTTATCTTGGAAGAAAGAGTCAGCATCAACTTGGAAGAATGATGACTAAAAAAGATAGTGGTAGAAGAAGAAGAACCATGGGTGTGGTTTCACTTACCGATGATATTCAATGTATCTGGTAAAGCAGTGCCTTGTTTGATTTGTAGTTGGGAATCGGTAATCAGCTGGTGCTGTCTCAATCTAAACATCAACAAGGCAATCCCAACACAAAAATGAATATATGGGAAACATAAAGATGGTAGTAGAATGAATATGACACAATTATGTCACCACCACGAAGAATATCTTGATAAATGGTTACCTTAATCTCCCGCCTCTCTTCTGCAGCTTCTTTTCCTGAGTTCTCTTCTGTAGCTTCATTGGATTCTTCAGCAGCAGCAGGGGTATCTTCACTGTTGCTTTCAGCAGTAGCGGGAGTTTCAGTGCTTTCTTCGACAGCAGGAGGAGTATCTGCAGTTTTTTCTTCAGCAGCAGGTGCTGGTGGTTCCTCAGCTTTCTCCACAATTTCCTCAGAAACAACAGTTGCTGGCTTCTCGTCTTCTTTTACTTCAACAGGTTTTGAAACCACATTGGTCTTCTCTTCTTTTCCCTTCAATAAATATTGCTGCATGCCATAGCATGTGAGCAAATGGGTTGATTAATACTAGTAGCACGCCAATGCAGAAAAAATTTCTTGAACATGCAAAATGACCAAAGGGCTGGAGGTTTAACTTCTTATCACACTTCAAATTTTTCACTTGTACAGATTAACAATAAAGGCATTTACATTGGTGAAAGGCAACGTTTGTTAGTGAGCACAAAATCAAATTTGTGTCAAATTCTAAATGTGCAGACATAGCAAGTAAATGTTGTAAAAAAATCAATCTCTTACAAACCAATTAGCAACTGAGTTCAGAGCATATGAACAGGTCAAACAGCAGCTGTTTTTACACTGAAATAGTAGCCTATCTTGAAGTCAACAAGAGTGCCCCTCAACTGTTAAAGCTTGGGTTGATCTGTTAATCAAGCTCAAGTTTAATGGGCATATCAAAACACAACAGCGAGGGTAAGGCGTCAATCTATTGGGTCCCGATCCTACAAATGCTTATCCCTTGGTAATTGAAACATACCCACGGGTCCATTTGAAGAAGCATTCGCTTTAAAAAGAAAAGGAAAACAGAGACAGAACTTGGTACCAAAAATGCAAGTTAATATGACAGCATTAACACAGATTGAGAGAAAAAAATTAACAGCAGCCGGCAGTACATCTGTAATTGCACATCTCTTATGCAAAACATATGTTTTTTGCATAATATGTAGCACCTACAAATCGAGATTCTCACTCTTCCACCCAAAAAAGGGGGGAAAAAAGAATCAACCAATCAAAATATCACCATCAACGTTTTCCTTCATAATTTACAGCAAAAGAAGATGCAGTCAAAGAAAAAAGCGCATAATTATCCTCATTTTCGTCAATGATTCTCTACATGAAACGAAAACAGACTAACGATCCGAATAAAGAAAATGCAAAAAAAAAAAAAAAAGCTTTAGGCCGAGCTTAAAAATTTAGGAACTCGAAGAAAACATTTGAACAGTGAGAAAGAGAGATGAGGAACCTCAGATAGGGTTGGGGCTTCGGTGGTTGCAACAGCAGTTTCCGCCATTTAGTGGAAGAAGGGGAAGAAGCGATCAGCTTTGCGGTTGAGTTGATTCAACAAGAGCGAGCGGCCAATCAGAGTGATATCAGGAAGGCAGTGCTCGGGTTAGGTTATGAGCTGTCCTGACCTCACCAGTAGTTTCGTTTTACTGCGTGTTACTGTGCAAGTAAAAGTTGGTGGAAGCTGAGTTACACGCATTGTAAGCCACGTTTCCATCTGACGGTAGTTTAACCTTCAGATAACTTTCGGAAACTTCTGGCTTGCTGGCTCGGCTCATTATATTTTTCTTGGACCGATGAGTGAGGGCTTCAAGACTGGGCCAGAGTTGGATAGGTTACTTTTTAGATATTTTTCAGCCGATGGGCCAGACATGGTTTTAACCCTTCCATTGATGACCCAATAGCACTAATACATTGAGCATCTCGTAATTGAGATTTTAAAAATGATTTTATATTATTCTTGAATAGATATTATTTAGTTTTCATGTGATCAATCATTAATCATCAAGCTTTAGGAAGATACTTTAAAAACTCAAATTTGAAGATAATATTTATTTATAATTTTCAAAATAATAAGTGATTTGATTGATTTATTTAGAATTTATCACTTAGCTATTTATTTCTAAAAATAAAATTGATAGAGAAAACATGTTTTCAAAAAACATTTATGTGTTTATCACTTTAGTTTTTTTGAAAGATGAATGGAAATCATCCTATTATATTATTATATAATTAATTTGAAAAGAATTTTAAACAAATTGACTTCTAAATTTCTGTCTTAGATGTTTTCTAGCTCATATAAATAAATCCTATTTGATTGAAGAACAGAACAATTAAATTTAAGATGATAAGCAAAGAAATCCTAAAAATATGATGCAAAACACTAGTAACATCAATTCTAAGCTTGTAACATTAGAAGAACTACTTAAATAACAAGTAGTTTAATAGAGTGTTTGCAGCTGTAGTAAGAATTGTTTTTCAAAGTATTTTTTATTTAGAAGTAACAAGTAGTTTAATAGAGTATTTGCAGCTGTAGCAAGAATTGTTTTTCAAAGTATTTTTTATTTAGAAATATATTAAAATAATATTTTTTTATTTTAAAAAAATTATTTTTGATATTAGCATATTAAAACGATCTAAAACATAAAAAAATAAATTTTAAATAAAAAAATAAAAATTTGCCCAAACTTGATTTGGAATGCAATACTAAACAAGATGTAAGTGTGTGTAAAATGTCAAATAAAAATATATATGATTGGAAACAAACATTTCACTCATGAATAAAGAGGCATTATTGAAAGGGAAGCAAGTTACATTATTGCATACTTGCAGCCTCTTAACATTTTCTGAACTTCTGTGCATTAGGCCTTATCAATAAGAATGATAGGGCTAATCTTCATGACACGAGCAACATTCACTATAATATACTGAGAAAAAGCTTGAAACATTTATGAAATCGTGCAAAACTTCCCCTTTTGTGACCTTGAACTTGCTTGTTCCATCCTTTGGCATGTTAAAGTAAGTTGGCCTTAAACGGTTATTCTTAGCTGATATACAATCTCTTCTTTATCCATAACATGATGTAAATATGCGTTATACCAAATCCTTTTCGTTCACTTTTTTTATATGTTGAGTTTTTCATAATATATACACGCAATAAAAAAATATATTTAAAAATTTTTTAGAAGTTCTAAAATCTTATTAGACAGATATAGGGTTGTGTAGAATTTGTATAAAGATTACATGAAAATTAATTTTTTTTTAACTTTGAATAATTATTTCAAGGTTAAGTTGTTGCAAAACAAATGTTCGGTCTATAATAGTAATATATACCAACCACTAGTGAGAAATTTCCTAAATCGTTTTAGAAGATATGGATTGTTATGCCTTTAAATACTATTTCTTTTCTTTTATGTTTTTTAGGTGTTATATAATGTATTGTGTATTGTTTTGAAAATAAAAGGCATTATAAATTTATAGAGAAACTTGAAAACCCTATAAATAGTAAAATATCAATTTGTCTCTTAAATAATATGACATATTATTTCAGAAAAATTTTAAAAATTTATTCCATCATGTCCTTACTTGATTTTTTTAGATCTAGAATTGTGATTCCCTATATAAATTAAACCTTAGTCCTTGATTTTTAAAAATTATCTATAATCAAGTCACACTTGATTAATCATTCCATTTTAATTTCTGACCAATGGTTCTTGTGTGTCTTGCCCATTAAATTTTCTAATAAGTTGGTCCAAATATAAATTATAATCCTAAATAAAATATGATTAAATTAATTAATTTATTATCAAATTAAAAAATTAATTGATTTATATTTAAAGATAAAGTACAATGTTTAGCAACATGTCATGATCTTCGTAATATTTGAAAAGTCATAAGTGATTTGATTTAACTTTTTAATGATCATTTTATAAATATAATTATTATTCTTTCATCAATAATATTTTAATTTAGACATTATATCATGTAATATGTCTAATTTGTCAAACCATGTTTGTTCTCAACACCATTATCATTAATTATTTGAATAAAATTTGAAACTCTTTTCAAATCTCATTCCACCTTGTGAAAAGATTTACAATCAATATTAATTCACCTAGGGTGATGAATCCTATCTTGATTACTTAAATACATTCATATATTTATATTTTATCCAATATTTATCAATTGGATACCATTGATTAAAACAACATATAACAGGATCACAACTTAACACTCTCAATAGAAAATAACTTAATGATCTTAAGTCTAAATATCACTTATAAAAATATCACGTGAGTCTTTTCATAAATATATATGATATCTTCATACGAAATTCTCATACGGGTTAGTTTAGTATATATGTCTTATAACAAACATTTATATATTAGTTCTAGTTATCTCTTATACCTCAACTTATAAAAACAATTATTTTTTTTATATATATATAAAGAAAATAATATATTACGTACCATTTCAATGACTCTAATTAATATCTAGACTTAATAAAATATTGACTAGAAATATTTTAGAAATAATATTTTGATATAATAGAAATCTTATAATAATAACAACTTTAAATATTTGATGAATAATAAAAATAAATAAAGTTTTTATTGAAATTAAATATGTTTACATATAAGTCTATCAAAAATACTTTTTTGATACAATACGAAAAATCTCTAATTATAAAGTAATTTTTTTTAACTAATTATAAAGATAATGTCAACTAAGTAGTAAATAACAATATAATATAATTAAAAAGAGAGTAAAATACACAATATAAAAGCTCAAACATTTTAAAATATATAATATATAAAAAATTCATATATAATTTAAATTAAAAATCCCTTACAATACAATTATATTTATAAAATTTCATTAGCTAATAATTACCTCTCAGTTTGCTAATTTGAAAAAGAAGCTGTGGAAGAAACTAATTTACCTACTATATACATTGCAAGTTGTTATAGCATATAACAATTATATTAAAAGGAGAAATAAAGAATATGATGCAGAAAAGAATGATATTACAAATCAAATATAAGGGCCGAGAGTAGCAGATATAACTCCCGTCAACTAAGATCTATATTACATTTTAATGTCGAAACCAGTCACCAGAAAAAAAAATAAAAAAAATTACAGAACTTCATTTTCCACCCTTGCTTCTTCGTGTTCTCTATCCCTGAATTACATCCCGGATGAGGACGTCCCCCGCCCAATTTTGGAGCAGCAGGTTTACCTTGGCCCCTACCAGCTGCCAATGGTTTGGCCCTGGTAGTAGGTGAAGGAGCAGCAATGGTGCCCAGAAAAACTTGTGATTTTGCTGACCGAGTTTGTTAATTTTACATGAGTTAAATTTAATTTTACTGATTTTTAGATTTTTAATTTGATTTTATATATATTAAATACATATTAACATATAAAATCATACAATTTTATAAATTAACTTGTATTTTTAATGATTTTATTTACATATATAAGAATAATATAAACATATAACCAATCAATTATCTATATTACATATACATTAATAGCAGCGAACACTCTCAACAACGCTAAAGGAGAAGGAAAAACAAAACCCAAATTCAGGAAAAGAAAAACAACAAAATAATGAGAATGCTAGACAAGAAAGTTGATGTGATTGGATTCCCCGGCTGCCTCGTGCCCGAAAAATCTTGGAAAGGATGAAACGGGTCCCAGAGGAATCATGCGGAGAAAAAATCATTATAATAACATTTGTTTTTTAAATTTTTTTAATTTTTTTTAATTGTAATGCATTAACACTGCCAAGTGGCTGTTTTGCAGTGCATTTAAAAAATATTTTTAAAAATTTTAATTTTTTTAAATTAATATATTTTTAATATTTTTAAATTTTTGACTGTGTTAATTTTAAAAATAAAAAATATTATTAATATATTTTTTAAATAAAAAATATTTTAAAAAACAATCATATATATTTAGCTTTTGATTGAAATACGGTGAAAGTTATGATTTTTTAAATAATATTTTATTATTTTTATTTTTTTTAATCTATTGATATTAATAATAATTTTTAAAAAATAAAATAAAATTTATTTTAATATATTTTTAAATAAAAAATATTTTAAACCGTTGTTATTATTATAAGTACAAACACATTTTGAGTGTGTGCGTGTAAGAATTATAATGGACCACATGTTGAGCTTGATTTACGAACAAGACAAAACAAATTGCTTGCGCTCATGGATTCGAAATCTAATATATAATTATCAGACGGTAGGAAATAACTATTTTATGGTTGCTGCACATATAAAAAAAACACTTGAGGCCCGTTGACATGGCCCAAAAATTCGAGCTTGAGATTTGTCTTCCTACCTTCGAGATAAGGACCGTCTACCCTTTACATCAATGCCAGCTGCCAACCACTTAAATAACACAATTAGTCAAATGAAAAAAAAAGAAAAAGGAAAAAAGAATACGATTAAACAAAAAAAGCAGGAGAAGTTTAGAAATATTAACTTTAACCATATTTGCTGGAAAGTAATTTTTTTAAGTATTTTTTAAAATAAATTATTTTTTAATATTTAGTAATATTATAAAAAATAAATTCAAAAATACTTTCTAATATTT